TCACTTCAATATGTAGCCTTGACCAAGAAAGCCTATATCTCTTCAATGAATGCTCAGATCTTCTTAAAAACAAGTCAGAACATGTTACTCTAAATAAGATAAGAAATGATGCATCTATAACAGTTTAAAAGGTTAAAGTTATAACATAATGGCATATTAAGCCAATAAGTTGTATTCTACTGCCCCCTGCTGTTTAAAATAGTCATTTTGTCATGCTACTAACTACTAATATTCTATTATTCTTATTTAGAGTTTATAAAATCACTATTTTAACATTTACACTCACATTTTGTCAAAATTCATCTATTGAAGCATTGTGTCACAGATAAATGTTAATCCTGAATGAGACACACAGTTCAGATCACTTTATCTACAACAGAATGTGTGTGTGTAGTCCCATGTTTTTGAATAAATCCTGAATAATCTGATTAATAGCTTGCAAAGACATATATTTTAATGGTCTATAAGCATTTCATATATTTTCATAATGACTTGTGTGTGTGTGTGTGTGTCTAGATATGAATGCAAAAAGACTTTATTAATAAGTGGAGTGGCCAGCAGAGGGCAGTAGAAGACCACTTATTGGCTCACTTTCATTTTAACAGCCTTGAGTTTCAACAAAATTATCCATGCTTACTATAAAATCCATTATATAACAATTACTATTATAACACAATCATATTTTGTCAGAGTGTAACACTTTATTTGTACTGACACATGCTAGATGCATGGTAAATCATACTAGAACGCAGTAAACAATGGTAAATCATGCTAGAACAGGGTAAATCATGTAAAGCATACCACAACATGGAATATCATGGTAAAACTATGGTAAATCATGCTAGATTCATGGTAAATCATACTAGAACATGGTAAATCATGGTAAAAGTATGGTAAAGCATGGTAAAACGATGGTAAATCATGCTAGAATCATGGTAAATGGTTTTCCATCTAATATGTCAGTGGTTACATGCTTGCTAAATGTCTTTAATGCTTATGTGCTAAAAGGGCTTAAATGCTTGAACACCGCTAAATGCTGCTAGCAGCTTTAATTATTTTTATTATTATTCTTCCGCCGTAAAACGCATCGTGCAGCCCAAACCGTAAATGCTAGAGACTTGAAACTTTGTCAGATGGTAGTACAAAAATCGAGGAGAGCTTATCAAATTATGAGCCCGATTGGCCCATAGGTGGCGCTATAGCAACCAATTGCGCAAAACTGCTCATAACTCCTAGACCGTAAGTCGTAGACTCAAGTGTCTTATATCATTGGAAAGCTGGACTCCTGACTTAAAAAACGTATATCTCCGATTTCATTTGCGTCATGATAGATTTTCCGCCATTTTGAATTTTGTCAAAAAACGACTTTTGCAAACTAGTCCCTGATTTTTCGCCCGATCGGAACCAAACCAGTGCACAAATGTTCTGTGGAGTCTGAACATAAATTATAATCGAAAAAAAGTTGAAATTTCGATTTCCGGTCGCTAGGGGGCGCAAAAAGAACGTTGTGGGAGGAGCCTATTTTTCTAAAATGGCTATAACTCCAGAAGTAAATTAGATAGGCTCACCAAACTTGGTACACATGTGCATGACTTCAATCTGAGGTCACAGTAAAAAAATCGCGATGATCAAACACTAGGTGGCGCTATAACATGAAAAAAACATATAAAGGACTGACCGTTAGTCCGATTGACTTGAAAATTGGTATGCAGTGTCTTGGTCCAAGGCCCCATGTATATCTATGAGGACATTGACGTATCTCAAAAAACATGGCCGCCATCGACCAATGAAGTTTGAGCCCCTATGAGACGAGGTTAACGGAGGCCAATCGGAACGAAACTCGATGGACATGTTCGACTCATGGCCTAAGAGGTCTGTAAGAGTTTTGAAAGAAATCGGCCACTAGTTGGCGCTAACGAGTTTTATGGCTCTGTAATCACGTGGTGTTGCACACATCCTCCCAAAATGCATATCATTTGATAGATCTCCTCATGGTGAACAACTTTGCCTCTAGAACCATTGCTGTCAATCAAATCGTTCATTAAATATTCACGAATATGTTAAAAACCTACTTTTGCGAACTAGTCCCTGGTTTTTTGCCCGATCAAAACCAGACCAGTCTAGGACAATTCTCTGGACTCTCTAGATCAATAATTATCAAAAAAAAGTTGAACTTTGCCCTTTGGTTCACTGTAACAGGGTCATTTAGAAGAGGGGCGTGTCAAAATACACTCAAAAGCCTATAAATCGTAAATGAAAACGCAGAACTTGACAAAAATTGATGAGAATATGTGTCATACCATGGTGAGGAAGCATGCAAAGTTTCATGGAGATCGGACCATAGGTGGCGCTATAACTGTTAAAAAGCTTTAAAACCATATATTTCCTATGGTAAATTGCCTGTATTGGCTGTAAATGGTCTTTTCCATCTATGATCGTATACTTTTCATATCATAATGTTTAAAACCAGTGCAGTACAATTCTCGGGACTCTCTAGATCAATAATGATCAGAAAAGGTATAACATCTTAATTTGGATGGCTATAATAGGGTCACTTCAATATGTAGCCTTGACCAAATGTCCCCAAAAACCTATATCTCTTCAATGAATGCTCAGATCTTCTTAAAAAAAGGTCAGGACATATCACTCTAAACAAGCTTGACAAATTTTAGACAGATCGGACAAAATTTGCCTCTATAACAGTTAAAAAGGTGAAAATGATATGAATATAGTGGCATATTAAGCCAATAAGTGGTGTTTTACTGCCCCCTGCTGTTTAAAATAGTAATTTTGTCATAATGCTGACTATCATTGTTCTATAATTCATTTTTAGAATTAACATAATCACTATTTTAACATTTACAATCACATTTAGTCAAAATTCATTGTCACATTGACAAATGTGAACCCTGAATGAGACAGTTTAATCTACAATAGAATGTGTGTGTGTGTAGTCCCATGTTTCTGAATAAATTCTGAATAATCTGATTAATAGCTTGCAAAGACATGAAATGCTTAGACCATTAAAATATATTTTCATAATGACTTTGTGTGTGTGTGTGTGTGTGTGTGAGCAAATGTCTACATATGAGTGCAAAAGCACCTGTGAAAACACTTTATTAATGAGTAGAATGGCCAGCAGAGGGCAGTAGAAGACCACTTATTGGCTCACTCTCATTTTGACACACTTGATTTTCAACAGTAAATCAAAGCACTAAAGCAAACCAGTTTTTCCATGTTAACTATTATAACACAATCATTTTTTGTCAGAGTTTATCACTTCATTTTTATTGGCACTTCACATCAATGCAGCAATGTGGTAAATCATGGTAAATCACGATAGAAACATGGTAAATCATAGTAAAAAATACTATTACATGGTGGATCATGGCAAATCATGCTAGCAATGTGATGAATCATGGTAAATCATGCTACAATCCTGGTAAATCATTCTAGAATGTGGTATATAATGGTAAATCATCCTATAACATGGGAAATTATGGTAAACTATGTTAAATCATGCTAGATTCATGGTAAATCATACTGGAACATGGTAGATCATGAAAAATCACACTAAATTTGGTATATCATGGTGAATCATGCTAAAACATGGTCTATTCCATCTATGATGTCAATGGTTAAATGCTTGCTACATAAAACTTAATGTCTTTTGATGTTTTTGTGCTTAACGGCCTTAAAGGCCTTAACTGCTTGAACACCGCTAAATGCTGCTTGCAGCTTTAATTAAATTTATTATTAGACCAAAACAGCCGATATTTAAATCTCTTAAAACAAAACCGACCGATATTTAAATTTATTAATAGTCCAAAACAACCGATATTTAAATTTATTAATAGACCAAAACAATGAATATTTAAATCTCTTAATAAAACAGAACGACCGATATTTAAAATGTATGAATAGGCCAAAACAACCGATATTTAAATCTCTTAAAACAAAACCGACCGATATTTAAATTTATTAATAGTCCAAAACAACCGATATTTAAATCTCTTAATAAAACAAAACCAACTGATATTTACATTTTCAGCACAAACGCAGGTAATTCACACACGCATCTCTCATCTCCCACTGCAAACATCAATAACAGCTGATACTATTATACTATGGTAAATTGCCAGCATTGACAAGTTAATGCGAGATAATCCATGGCTAGCTGTGCATTAAACTGTTTGAACGCACTCCGTGTCGCAGGAGGTTTTGTTGCCTCAACGTCGTGCAGTAAAATCATTTAATGCACAGGATTATGCGTAACTTATTGTAATGTTTTTCAAAACTTGCACCTTAGAACCCATTTCAACGCTTGCGTTCTCAAGCTCAAACACTGTTTTTGTGCAAATAACCAACCAGAACGCATTAAAAGTTTTCTGTTAGAACGGTGTCGTGTTAGCGGCCCCTAAGTTAATAACTAATGATCTTTGCAATGAATCAATCAAAACTAACTTTACCTGGACAATAACTTTATTCTAGAGCTGCTGTAAAGCCAAACAATCTCTGTAATCACTGTAAAGCTGCTGTGAAACTCTATATTGTTAAAGCGCTGTATTCAGGGTTCCCACACCTCGGTTAACTTCCAATTCAAGGACTTTCCAGGTCCAAAACCCTAATGTGGGAACACACTTATTGTGTCCAACAACAAACGTTGAGGTTCCATCGTAGTGGTTTTGTGCGCGCGTGAACGTCACGGCAACGTACAACACAAAGTACCTCAGGCGGGAAACACTACGCGCGTAACTAACGTAAATCAAGCAAGCTAGCGCGCATAGGCCACGCAGTGCTGGCGGAATAACACATTAGCGGAGCGGAGCGGAGCGAATAAGGAATTTTTTTAACGTTTATTTTAAAAAACTTTCCAGGGCCTTGAATTTTTTTTTTTTCAGATTCACAAACTTAAGGATTTCAAGGACCCGTGGGAACCCTGTATATAGAAGGTGACTTGACTAACTGTATTTTAGCTTAGCACATGGTCTAGTTCTTACCTTTCCCGATCACAAGTCCGCACTTATCCGCAGGTATTGTGTAGGTGACCTCCTGCAAGCCTCCAGGAGTTCCCATGTTCCAGTCACCACGACCTCTGCCGCGACCTCTGGGTCCAACCGGACCGCCAAAACCATCACGCTCCTGAGCGACAAACAGAGAAACTGAATAAAACACGAGCCACACAAAACATCCAGATAGATAAACCGTTTTATTTAATACCATGTCAGCATCTAAGGCTATTTTCATGGCAAAAATTATATTACAAAAATACAAATATCATATAAATACAATAAAACCAAGCAAACAACCAACAAGTCATATTATATATATATTTTTTTAATTAACATGATAAAAAAATCCCAAGACCTTTTCATGCATAATCTTACCAAATAAGTCCTTAAGTGAAATAACTTCATAAAAGAATAAAAAAAAAATATTTCTAGTCGAACTAGTCGTCGTTCATTTAAACCATCAGTTGACTAATCGCAAGTTTATATTAATAAGCCATAAATCATAATAATGAGCCTTTATAATTGCCTATATACTGTTTAATACATAGCTTGCCGGCAAACGTAATGATAATGAATGCGTCGTGAAAAACAGAAGGAGACAGTCTAAACATTTCAATAATTTATTGGTAATGTTGTCTGTGTTTTCGGCTGCAGAGATTAAGTCACGATGCGGACTCGTCATCTCCACATGCGTGCCTATATGCACGACTCATACGGATTACATAATCTGAGAATATTAATTTTCCATTTGAATTGGTTCATTTAAAAAAGTAGACATGTTACGCTTTCTATACATATATTTCTCAGGTCTGTGAGGCAAGTATACACTGAGTTTCAGTTCATTTATGAAACGAGCTCAAGTTCACCGAGACGGCAGAAAGCGCATGCTGTTGGTTTTCATCATCCTACAAAAGCACAACGTTTTGTTGTTATTGTGACTTTACAAAAATTAAAGTAGACCCTTTACAGTTTGCATTACTATTATCTGTGTGACCAAAAATTACAGTATTATTAGCTCTCCAAACACTTAAATATGAGCCTAATAATAGCGCAAATTTATCTAGGTTAGCATTAGAGCGAATAGACTTGAAGTTGCTACTACTTGCATGTTTAAAGTGATAAGCCATATTTGAGGTCGATGAACGATTGGCGAATGTTTGGATTTCATGCCGTTAACGATGTTAATCTAACACGTTTCTAAAAGTATTAAAAACACTCTGGGATTGAGAGATACCTGCAAACTTTATAAAATATGAGCTCATTATTTAGTTCAAGATTCAAGTGTGTTAATTCTGTCATTTTCCTGCTTTGAAACAGTCTGGATTGTAAAAAGCACTATAGAAATTAGGGCTGTCACTTTTGTGACATTTTTGAGATTTGAGACACAAGTGTTCATTGAATCGATTTTCCATGTCTAAGGACGTTTCCATTTTCAACACCAAATACAGGCAAATCCACGGACACCTAACAGGCATTAGGACGAGCGTAAAGAGGCGCTTGAGACGCACAAGTCAGCAATATTCCTGATGATTTATTGGCGTGAAGTTTCTGCACAATGACAAACAGGAGCGCAACATTCAGGGATTGAGATTAACACCTCGACTCGCCAGATGTGGGTACAAATGAACTTTGGCGGGAAACGCTGTCGAATCACGAGCCAATCTGGCGTTTCTGTGTTTACTCACTTTGCTGGGGAAGTTCGTGTAAGACAAATCTGCGCGGATTTAGCGCAAATACGCAACTCGTGATCCTCATGATATATTAAATACAGTGCATTGCAGAATCTGTGCATTTCTGGCTTACTTGAACACACACGTCACTACGCAACAAATAACGGCGCGCTTGTTCACTTGCACTGAAGCAATAGCGAATATTAAAAAGCATTTGGTGAACAGAAAAGACATTGTTATTTTCCAACATCCTACATGTTTTGTGTGCTGTATTGATCTGTCCACCTAAAACACATTTTTGGTAAAAAATAAAATAAAAAGCTGTTAAAATCGATTCCCTATTTTCATTTGTGAAACTTGTGTTGGTTGGTCCGATCGATTGTGCAATAGTTTTTCGAACGTAAAGTGACAGCCCTAATAGAAATAAAGCTGACTTGACTAGAATCGTGATGAAGCACGACAAACGGGCTATAATGTACCTGTGCCGTTTGGACCAGATCATTGATGAGGTGAACGGCGTGTTGACATCGGTCGGGCTGACCCATGACCTGGGCGATCCGGTCGGGACTGATCCCATCATCTGAAACACATTTAAATAACAATTCTGCTTCCTCAATTCAAATTCAGTGATTGAATGAATTCAACAGGCATTCTCAAATGAATTGCTCGGCTGCATGTGAATATTCATTGGCTTGTAAACAGGCAGAGTAAACAGTGTAAACACATGTGCGAGAACAGTACATTAATCCCTGTAAACGTCTTAACGCTTCAGTGATCCCTGCTGGGCCTCCACGGGTCTTAAGAGATTTATGTGATCAAGTGTGTCCCAACATGCCCTGACCCGAGTTCACCAACATCCCGAAACAGATACAGATAAACCACACCGGGGGAGATACAGTAACTAAAACTGAAGCGGTTAAAACATTTCTGTTCACTGAAATAAATGTAAAATATAAATAATAGTTGAAAATCCTAAACTAAACGAAAAATATTCCAAAATATTAATAAAACTGCTATTCATGATATAGGATGTGTGAAAGTTATGGTAAGAATGGAAAAAAAAAGCAGTAAAACTGCATATTGATCCACAAACTCAGTTGCATTTGCTTGTTCCCTTTTAAATGATCTTTCAGATTTCAGTTTCACTGCATTGCTCTACTCTTTTTTAAATCTGCTTTGGATCTTTGGACTTCTCTATTATAGAAGATTATCGTTATCGTTCTTGAAGTGAACGAGCCTTTAGTCTTGAAATTCGGCACTGTGGTAACCGAACTTTGCAGCGCTAGATGTGATCAATTGTTTGTGATATTTAAATAAAAAAAATGTAAATCTCTTAAAAAAACAAAACCGACCGATATTTAAATATCTTAATAGCACAAAACCAACCGATATTTACATGCATTAATAAAACAAAACCAACCGATATTTAAATTAATTAGTAGAACGAAACCAACCGATATTTAATTAATTAAGCAAAACCAACCGATATTTAAAACTCTTACTAGCACAAAACCAACCAATATTTACATGCATTAATAAAACAAACCAACCGATATTTACATGCATTAATAAAACAAAACCAACCGATATTTAAATTAGTAGAACGAAACCAACCGATATTTAATGAATTAATAAAACAAAACCAAACCAATATTTAAATTAGTTAAAAGAACCAAACAGACTGATATTTAAATTAGTAGAACGGAATCGACGACATTTAAATGAATTAATAGCACAAAACCAACCGATATTTACATGCATTAATAAAACAAAACCAACCGATATTTAAATCTCTTAATAGAACAAAACCGACCGACATTTAAATTAATTAATAGAACAAAACCGACCAATACTTAAATTAATTTATAGAATAAAACTGATTGACATGTAAATCTCGTAATAGATCTCGCACTGTTCTATCCTTTGTAAATCTGCTTTGGATCTTGTGTTGTAAAACGTGTAACACAAATCCATTTCAAGGTAAAACCAAGATACCTCAGCATTTGCTTTAGTGAAAGTTTCGCAAGTTCTTTTCTATATGGACAGAATAAGATGCAATATGAACTAAACTTTATACCGATAAGCATATTTCATGTATGCTAATGTTGGAAACGCATCCAAAAGAAATTAAAGAGGCCATATTATTCTCAAATTTACAAATAAATTATTTTGGGCTCTACTTGAACAAGTTTTCCTGCTTGAATGTTGATTATTTTCCTCATATTCTCCATTGTTGCGGCTCCTCTCTTCCCGGTCTGTCAGTAACGCTTTGTTTACTTCCTGTCTCTATGAAGCCCCTCCTCCAGAAAAGCACACTGTGCTCTGATTGGTCGGCTGGAGCAGTGTGTTGTGATTGGTCGAGCTCTTCGAGTGTGTTTGGGAAATGTCCCGCCTCTTACCATAACCACCAGTTTAACACACTACTAACTAACTCAACCAGGCCCCGCCCCTTTATTCTGCGTATTAATTATTTAAATGAGGAATATTATGACGTGTTCGTTCCCGGAAGAAATTCAAGACTACAATGGAGGCGTTTCAGGAGTTCAGAAACACTGACACCAATATAAAATGCTCAAACAGCAACATTAATCACACTAAAGAAAGATGAAGATTTAAAAAAACATAATAGATTTAGATACATAATAGATACTTTAAATAAAATGATTGTGAACACTGACCTGGCTTAAACTGGATCCTGACACCCGCATCGTTCTGAATCTTCTTGATCATCTCCCCGTTTCTGCCAATGACGATTCCAACGGCAAACCTGGGCACTGCAACCTGTGTGTGCAAAACCTAATAATGAATTATTTCTGGCTTATTCTCAAGCTTAAAATGTCTTAACTGCAAAAAATGCTTTTCTTACTTTGTATTTTTTTCTCTCAAAATTGATTCTTAAATCAAGAAGCATTTACTAGATAAGTAAAATGACATAAGAAATTCTTGTTTTCTAATAAAAAATAAAAATTAAGTGAGTTTTTGCTTAAAACAAGCAAAATTATCTGCCAATGGGGTCAGAAAAAAAAAATCTAAATTATTTTTCTTACCCCATTGGTAGATAATTTGGTTTGTTTTAAGCAAAAACTCACTTAAATGTATATTGTTTTTTATCAGGAAACAAGACTTATTTAATAAATGCTTCTTGATTTAAGAGTTTTTAGATATTTGGACTGGAAACAAGACAAAAATACTAAGTGAGAAAGGCATTTTTTGCAGTGAAATTTGAGCTCAGTCGTTGAACACTTCTTACATCGATGCTGCTTCCCAGCCTGGATCCGAAGTCACTGCGGCCACTCCTGAAATCTCCCTGATCCTTTTCCCTGATGATCTCAACGACCAGCTCCCGCGCTTGCTGTATAAAACACACGCAGAGTCAGACGTCATTCAACATGACTGTGGATCTGGGACTGTAAAGACCCCGATATACTCTTTTTCATTCTTCGTTTAGGGGTTGAAATAAGTTCGAAATGGCTTTGCAGCGAACATCCTGATGATACAGGATGCACCGATATCGTCATTTTGACCTATACCGATAACTATTTCGATTTGAAACCGATAACCGATATTTTGGCCGATACTGATAACTCTTTCTATTTGAAACCGATATTTTGGCCGATACGATAACTCTTTCTATTTGAAACCGATAACCGATATTTTGGCCTATACCGATAACTCTTTCTATTTGAAACCAATAACCGATATTTTGGCCTATACCGATAACTCTTTCGATTTGAAACCAATAACCGATATTTTGGCCTATACCGATAACTCTTTCGATTTGAAACCGATAACCGATATTTTGGCCTATACCGATAACTCTTTCGATTTGAAACCGATATTTTGGCCTATACCGATAACTCTTTCGATTTGAACCCGATAACCGATATTTTGCCCTATACCGATAACTCTTTCGATTTGAAACCGATAACCAATATTTTGGCCGATACCGGTAGCTCTTTCGACCTGAAATCGATAACCGATTATTTTGCCCGATACGATAACTTTTTTTTAATAGAAACTTTCAGAACTTCGAACACACTTCGTTTTGGCCTGATTTAGTTTGAAATGACGCCACACCAATTCATTCTTCGATTACGCTGCAAGTATATCGGGGTTTTAATGTCATTAAAGAGACGAACCTGAACTTTATAAGGGTCTCCAGTGATTCTCAAGGGTTTGTCTGATCCAGTGGGCATCGGGTCGTCCTGAATCATGATCATCTTCACTCCTGTCCTCTCCTGTGGGCACACAAAGTACACTTATTTAATTGAATTGCTTAACTACGTAATCTGATATAAATGTATAACACAAAACTCATGGGGGGAAATGTTCCTGTACATGTTGAACTTCAGGAGCATTAACCATTAAAATGGAATCTAGAAAAATTCAAACAGAAACATAATTTGGGAAAAATAAAAAGGATTAAAAAAATAAAACCGAAACAAATAAAACAGATTTGAGATTTCATTTAAATATATTAGACATGCTTTTTGATTACTAACAGATTCACTCACTCACGACGGAGGACCAAAAAAAAAATAATTTAAACATGCTACTCTTTTTATCGTGAGGCATCGGTTGTCATCCACTATGACACACTATAGGAGATGAAACGCCCGTTGTCGTTTACGAATCCCCACGTCAATGGTGTAATCTGAAGCATGGCGTAATTTCCACCCAACCTGAAGTTGTTTGATGGTGTCGCCTCCTTTCCCGATGACCAGGCCAACTTTACTGGCCGGGATGAGGATCTCCTGGACGGCGCTGTTCCCGTCCATCTGACTGTGGAAGCCCGGCCCGTTCCGACACCGGTCCACGATCTGCCCCAACAACCTCTTCGCTTGCCTGACGGACCACAGATAGAGTTATTTAATGAGTCAGCATCTAAGGCTATTGTCATGGCAAAAAAGATACAAAATAAAATAATAAGAAAGATATAAAATAAAGGTATTATTATTATTAAGGGCAGTGAACTCTTACTCGATACTTTCTGGGGTCCCAGTCAGGGTGCAAGGCCTGTCCATCATCCCTCCACTGTCTGTGGGAGAGAGAAAAATCAATCATAATAATCATAAATCATAATCATCTGCTCAGATTTCCAATCTCTTGTGGCCATCAAATGTTTATTTTACATTACAATTTCTGCTCTACATGACTAAAGTTGCTAGCCTGGGAAAACCCAGACAACTTCCGGCAAATTTAGATTTGCTCTGAAAGTTAGTCTGGCAAAGAGCTCATTCAAGCCCATTTCCAATCCGCCGAAATCACGGCACCAATCAGAAGCGTTGGGGCGGGCTTTACACGATGACGACAGCGCTGGGATTTTGAAGCAGATTTTGTAGCCTACATTACAAAGATGGATGCCGCCGTCGAACATCACTCGTTCGAAGCAGCTATCGCGTCTGTTTTAAGCGATTTTAACGTTTCCTTTTAGTTAAAAACCGAGCAAAGAACAACACTCGGAGATGTGTCTCCGCCGCTCTGCATACGTCATCTCCTTCATCGCTCTGATTGGGTTTAGGTCTATCCGCGACGTCCGTTGGTGACGCCCCTCTGGAAATGATTTGTCTATGACGCTTTGCCAGACCATAACTCAGTTACAACTGAGAATGGTCTGGTTTTAACCAGGCTATAAAGTTGCACTAGCGCTTTAACACTTCAGAGATTGTTTTGTCTTCGGATCGTGAACAAACTATACAAATATTTGTTCATTGTAATAAAGCTGAGTAGTTAAAAAAAAAAAAAAAAAAAAAATTGAAACTGAAATAAGTTTAAGTTGAAGCACTAAAATAATTAACTGGAAATTAAAAATCTAGAACTGAAATAAAAATAAATTAAACCTTAAAAAACTAATTCGCAATAAACATCAAATGTTTATTTCACATTACAATTTCTGCTCTACATGACTAAAGTTGCACTGGCGCTTTAAAGCTTCAGAGATTGTTTTGTCTTCGGATCGCGGTTATTATCATTTTAGTCGAGTTGAAGCACTAAAATAATTAACTGGAAAATAAACAATGGAAACTAAAAATAAATTAAACCTAAATAGCAATATAAAAAAAACCTAATAAAATGACAAAAGCACATAACCAAAAAAAGTAACATTAAAACCAAAAATATAACTAAAACTGAAATAAATTAAATAAGATTAAATAATAATTACAATCATAAAAATGACAAAAGCACAATTAAAAATAAAATGAACATGAATATATATATATATATATATTAGGGTTGTCAGACGATTAATCGCGAATAATCGCATCCAAAATAAAAGTTTGTTTACATAATATATGTGTGTACTGTGTGTATAATTATTTTTAATACATAAATACCCACACATGCATGTGTACTTAAGAAATATTTGCATGTATATACTGTATATAGATTGAATGTAGCCTATATATAATGTATATTTAATATAAATATAAACATTTTATATAAATAACATATTTTTCTTAAATATATACATGTGTGCATTTATATACAAAATAATTATACACAGTACACACATATATTATGTAAAAACACTTTTATTTTGGATGCTATTAATCGTGATTAATCATTTGACAGCCCTAATATATATATATATATAAATAAATATAAAAAGACACAAAGTAAATATGAAGAACTGGAATCAGATTAACCCACCAGCAGCGATCTGGATCTTGCAGTTTGATTCCAGCTGAATTCTTGTGATCTGTTCGCCACCCCGACCGATAACTGACACACAATAAAGACAAAGAGCTCAACTTCTGTTAGGACTAACCCTGTACGCATGCTATTCCTGACAGAAGACGACGGACACACGTTTTTCAATGGTCAAAGCACATATATAGAGAACATCAACAGAAGCAAATGACAAACAGAACAGATTAAATTTTTTTTTTTTTTTTTTAAATGTGCGTAGAACAATACAAAAATCTGTCACAAATGTATTTTTTTTTTTTGATGATTCATCCATAAACAATTAAATAAAAGGGCAAAATTTCATCACAGAGAAGCTGCATTCGATTTTTGCAAACCCATTTGATTATAAAGCCCAAATATGAACATTGTCTATCGGAAAAACATTAGAGTTTCACTCAGATCTTCAGTACTTACTGAATCCCACCATCTTATCAGGCACTTTGTAGTCTTCTGTTATTATAGCCCTAAACAAACAACATACGCAGATTGTAAATATCAACCTAAGATTATTATAGAAGAGACCACAATAGTTTTAATAAATATAAGCGCTCACCTTGTACCATGTACCATTGCACCGAGCTGGTTCGCCACTTAGATGAAGGAGAAAGAAAAAGTATTAATTACTGATAAATACACAGAATATCGTCTCTCAGCCAAAAGTGACTCCAAACCCAAGGACATTTTATCAAGTAACATACATATATCAACTACACTAGCATAATTCCTTCCAATAGCTCCGTTAACTTTGGAATATCGCATAAAACATTTGCGAATAAAGCAGCGTTTCCATCCCATGTGTTCAAGAAAACATGAGTGGCATCTCAGAGCGTAAACGCTGTCATGTTCTCTTGCGAACGAATGCTGGTGTTTGGGAACGCAATCGTGCGAGACGCTTCTGAAAATAACTTATTTTTGTTATGAAAAATGCGCAAAAACTAAATTTTCAATTTTTATATGAAATATTTTTCAAAACACGTTTTACTCTTAATATGTGAGGGGGGAAAAAAGCCATAAATCTAAATAAACTGTGTACCAAATTTGAGATTGATATCTCAGTAAATGAGCTTTCAGTGAGAGTGTGTTCGGCCGCAGTACCGAACGCTTCCACTAGAGGAAACTCATTTCCATGAATAGCACTAGTGTTTTTTTAGGTCAATTTAAACTTTTCAAATCATATACACTCCTTTTTTTGTGCGTGTTCACACAGCAAGTGCAAACACCTTACGAAAACCAAGTTTCGTACCATTCCGATAAATAAAATAAAATAATAATTCGTACTAATAATAATAACTCAGAAATGACCGTACAGCACCAGTGGGTTAAGGCGCGTTCAATGCATAGATAAAGGTTATATATAATGTATTATAACTGTGGTTACTATTATTCATGAGATCATTCAATGCATTATAAGGTGCATTACAAAGCGTAATTACTGCATTACAACACGTTTATAATGCATTAGGTAACACTTTATTTTATAACAAGTGTCCTTGTTACATGTACTTAGTAAAATATGCATAATTACATGCATCTAACTCTTCTACCAAATCCTACCCCAACCCTATAGAAAGTACATTTAGTAAATTAATATTACTTACAGGTGAAACTGGAAAAATGATAATATGGTGCAAAAGTTCATTTATTTCAGTAATTCAACTTAAAAGGTGAAACTAATATATTATATAGACTCATTACATGCAAAGTGAGATATTTCAAGCCTTTATTTGTTATAATTGTGATGATTATGGCTTACAGCTTATGAAAACATTTTCACAATATTCTAACTTTTAATTTGGGGTTTTCATAAGCTGTAAGCCATAATCATCACAATTATAACAAATAAAGGCTTTAAATATCTCACTTTGCATGTAATGAGTCTATATAATATATTAGTTTCACTTTTTTTAACTTTTGCACGATATTCTCATTTTTTCAGTTTCACCTGTAAGTACTTAAATATATAATTAAACAATGACACCTTAAAATAAAGTGTAACCATGCATGCATATATATGGGCTTTAAGTAAAGTGTTACCCAAGTAAAAGTTGAGCAACAGCCAATAGCAATTAAATAATGAAAAAAAATCAACTTAGTGTGGTTTATAACCATCATGCATTGATTCGGTCGACTCGCTGTTTTTAATGTCTGTTGTGTTTTTTAGCCTCGAGTGTTCAGGCCTCCAGCGCTCGACACAAATCTGCAAGCCACAGAAACAGGTTTCACTTCCTGAAAGACTCACTCTTGCTGTTTGTGCCTCTTTCGCAAGCAGTTCAAGAACAGAAACACCGATCAATGCCTCGTGCGGAAAAACACCGTCAAAGGGCAAAGCTTCATAAAGTCCTGCATTGATTTCACATGTGTCCGCACTGACACGAGCTGCCTGTGCACTCAGATCTCAGATCAGCAACACTGCCGTTACTGTCAGACACCGCACGGCTTCTTACCTCCCTCGTCCAGAGAGCGCTTCTGCCCGCCGTAGCCATAGAGCGAAGCGTCCACGACCGGGGACGAGTTGTTCAGATGGGGAATCTGTTCTCCAGTCATCTTAACAATCTAGAGGACATCAGAGAGACAACCAGCGGCTCAAACACACAGTTATTACAGTCACTGGAACACCAACAGGGGGAACGCAATGAAATATAAGTGGTATTCAAAAATAATAAATAAACGCAAAAAAAAAAAAAAAACTATATATTATAATTTTTTTTTTTTTTTGCATTGGATTACAATTTTTGTTGATACATATATGATTGATAAAAGCAAACATGGCGATTTAAACAAAAGCATGGGTTCTGCAATATTCACAGTCACTGTATTAACAACAGGAGTAAAGCAATGACATAAGTTGTATTCAAAAATAAATGAAAGCAAAAAAGTTATAAAAATTTTGCATTAAATTTCAATTTTTGTTGTTGCAATATATGAGATTGATAAATGCAAACATGACGATTTAAACAAAAGCATGAGTTCTTCATTATTTTACAGTCACTGTATTACATGGAGTAAAGCAATGAAATATAAAGGCTATGCAAAAAGAAATAAATATGCAAAAAAGTTATAAAAAATGTTTTGCATTGGATTACAATTTGTGTTTAAATATATGTGATAAATGCAAATGAAGCATTCTATCATTCTTGCTTCAAATAGTAATTTTTAAATGAATAATGTAAAATGTTTATTACCAACAGCAGTATAGCAATGAAATATACACGCAATTCAAAAATAAATTAATAAAAGCAAATAGCTACTTTTACATGTATACGTGTGTGTGTATATATATATATATATATATATAAATAAAACATGTTTATTTAAACTTTGAATCAACATGCACCAATGCTACATTTTTCTAAATGTCCTAATCACGTGTTAACAAAAGTGTATTCATCACTTCAATGAGCTCATTGTTTCTGCCTTAAATTATTACATTGTTTAAATTAATACATTTTTCACTAACTGTGATTTTGTATATGTACATTTCTGAAATGCATAACTTAGACAGTTTCCTCTGATTACAGATCACTGTAAATTGTAAATATGGACTCACGCATTTCTGTGAAGCTGCTTTAAAATGATGTGTATTGTGAAAAGCGCTATACAAATAAATTGAATATATATATATATATATATAGTAGCTTTTTCGCATTCTTTGTTAATTGCATTTATATTGAATCGTCATGAAAAATTTAAATTGAATTTGCATATTGCAAACATATATATATATGATTGATGCAAATGAACATGAAGATTTAAACAAAAATAAGTAATTTGATCATTCTTGCTTAATAACAAATATTATTTTAAAGTATTCATTTAAAAATCACTATATAGTAATGAAATATAAATGCAATTGCACAAAGCTATATATTATATATATTTTGCATTGCATTTTTTTTGTTGAAATTATATATATATATATATATATATGAATGATATAAACCCCAACAGGAATATACCAATAAATTATAAATGCAATGCCTTTTTTTTTTGCAGTTGCCATGAACACTTCATAACGTTACGAATCAAACTGCATGTTTGTATGCAAAAGCACAATCTAACAGAGATCATGTACATCCATCCAACAGATCATATTGCATGTACTTGAAACACTATGAATGAAATGTGCATTATAACCTGTCATAAAGCGTTTCTGAACTGCATTGCACGTCACGAACGCTTTGCATTTCATTCACTGGAGAAAAGCAAGTTTTGAAATTTATTGAAAATGCGAGTATCTTCCAACTAGATACTTTCAGACATAGATAGCTGAACGTTAGATAAAGTCGAGTGTTTTGCATCATTGAGGAGTTAGAGTTACACTAAACTGAAACGTCCAGAAAATTAAGAACAAAAACCAGAGAAATCTGGGAGTTAATACGGGATAATACGCCATCGCGTTTGAATGGTGCATGCAAGAAAAGCTCTGTTAAACTCAAAGCAAGAGGCCATTTTGAGGAGAAAGACTTGAGTGGGGTAGAAAGAGAGAGAGAGGCCGGTCTCCACCTCTTCCCTCCAGCTAAACCCTCTTTCTAGGGAATGCTGGGAAGGAATGCCAGCTATGCGAGAGCCTGGATAAATGGGAAAGTCTCCAGTGAAACGCAGGAGTCGGTAAACAGCAGTGGAGAGGAATGCAAGCATGAGAAACACTGGACACTTGTTGCCCACTCGCCAGCGTCTCTCCACCGCTTACAGGGACGACCGTTCACGCACAAGCAAGGAGTGAACTCAATGTAGGTCATTAATTACCCATGATGCAACAAGCCCAACACCTAACAGGGCGTCCATGTCAAAGTCAGCGTGCGATTACGGGCGGAGAAACGAGACTTTCCTTCTGGATCACGGATAATCAACACGACCTGGTTTGATTGTTTCGATTAAACGTGATGAGACACGGGTTTTAAAACACGACAGCTGTCATTGGACCTGATTATGCAACATGTTCACAAGCACGTCATCACAAATCAAACACAAACCAGCACTCGCTTCATGCGGAGGGCAAACTACAGATAAAGTGCGCCGTGACACGCTGATTACTCAGGCCGTAAAGAGAGGACGACACCAATAAAATAGAAATGCAATGCACAAATATATATTTGCATTGCACTGCTTTTTGTTGTTGTTGTTGAAATATAAGGTGTGTGCAAGTGCATTAAAGAAAATTAAGGAATGCATTGAAGCGTACACTATATATGCGCTCTAAATGTCCAGGGAGAAACACATGTTGCATTAGAAACACTTCAGAGTTTAAAAAAACTTCCTCAATATTTGTGTCTTTTTTTGCATTGCAAATCAAGACGCATTTACTTGAGATGCAAAAAGTCTTGTTTTCTGTGAAACGGATAAAAAAATAGTGAGTTTATGATTAAAACGAGCAAAAATATCTGCCAGTGGAATTACAAGCTCACTTAATTTTGTTCAAGTCTTCGTTTTACATCTGCATCTCAAGTAAACGTATATTGATTTAAAGATGTTTAGTATTATAAAACAAGAGAAAATACTGAGGAAGATATTCACTTTTGCAACGCATGCAACATTTAATGTCATGACTTTATGAATTTATGCTTTTTAAACCCTAATTTGTGTAAGGGCGAATTTAGACTTTAAGTGTGTGTGTGTGTGTGTGTATATGTATGCATGCATGCATGTGTGTGTATATGTATGCATGTATATACATATATATATATATAAAAAACATATACATGATTCAGAATTATTTATAGTTCTGAACGCAAACACGATGTAATCAAATGCATGCTATTTTATCATTTTATCATATCAAAAGCATGCTATTTTATCATTCTGGCTTCATAACTAATATTTTTTGCAGCATTAATTTACCGTTCACAATCACTTCATCCCGAATCAAACCCAAACGAGCGCTCGACTGTGACGCGCTGATAAACCAGCAGAAACGGTGTGTGTTTTCAGAAACGGTGTGTGATTCTGGACGTGAGCCAGGGTCTATTTCTTCCACACTGAGTTGATAAAAGCTAAAGCACAGTCTCTGAACACGAGGGACGGAAACACACTCGAGGAAAACTTACGCCTGGCCACAGGTGTCCGTGTGTGTGTACAGGGTCATGTGACCATTCGACATGGAGGCCAAAAACTGCTCTTACACCATCGACTATCTGATGATTAAAGCCATGAAAACACCACAGAACAATAATGAGAAAAGAAAAAGCTAAAGCATTATATTATTAGACAGAAATAAGGAACAGGGTTGTTATAGTTGACTAAAACGGAAACCATAAAACAAAAATTGCCCTCAAAATCAAATAAACGTTAACTTATTTAACATGTTTAAAAAAGAAACGCATTTTATTTGAGCTAATCGCCAACATTTTTTAATTTAGTTTAACTTGATGTACTAAAATAAACTAAAACTGAAATAAGTTTATTTAAACTAAAACTAAACTAAATATTTTTAACTAAATCGTTATAAAACTTTGTTAAAACTTTGCTTAAATTATAATTGTATTTCAAAGATACTAAAATAACCGCGTAACTGCTGTAAAACCTCGAGTGGCTTATCGCTTTAAGAAACAACAGCAACAATAAAACAACGAAAGATGTAAATTTTCCTGCATTAATTGCACTTTAACAGCCGATGTGTGAACAGCTTGTAACGAAACTTAAAAACGTGACCTTCCCGACTTCCTAGCTTGCCTCTGAAAGCCTGTCGACTGATTTCTATGTGAATTATGACTGAGGCAACTAACGAATGCAGTTTAAAGTCCCACTGAAACAGGAAGAGAAGGCGGGACATATTGAATGGCTCCTCCCCCTTTTCAAATAGCCAATAGCGTTTAGTTTACCTCACAGACTTAGACAGCAGGGTTAGGCTTGTTGTTGTGACTTATTTTGACGGCGCTGAGAACGCCAGTGCTCGCATTCTCCGTGTTCATGAGTTTGCGATCTGTCTAATACGTTATTAGAGAGAACTGTTATACACAGAAAGTAGACAGTAATAGAGTTATTAGCGTATGGCGTGTGTCGATGTCCAGTGTTGCTGAGCAGAAACACATCATCATGTTTCTCTTGGTCTCCTCAAAGTCGAGTTGGGTTTCTCCTCGGCGTAAAGATTAAGAGCTTCATCTATCTCTGTTTTACATGTCGTAGAGTTAGTTCCTGGAGTAAATATATAGGTTATAATCTCAGCTTCGGGTGCCGGTGTTTCGTGCGTTCGGCCAATCAGCGAGGAGTAGTCCAGCAGTAATTAGCTTTTGAAGTGGATTTACTTAATGTAGAGTTAACGAAAGTTTGTAATGTTTAAAGCAGATGTCTTAAATGTCAGTCGACCAGGAAGATTTTAAACCGAGCCGTTCATTCATAAATACGAAAGATCGCTGTGAAAATACAGACCGGAAGCGCTGAAAAGGGGCGGAGCTACAGAAGCGCTATAGCGCTGGTTAAGCTCAGAGCGACTCTGACGGAGGAGTACAGGAGTTCCTCGAGCTACAATCGTTCCCAGTTCCTGCGGTGCCAACGTAGAGTTGGAAAACGTAATAAAACTCAAGCGTTTGAACAATCGAACACATAGGGGGCGGAGCTTTAGACTCTAGAGAGCTTTTGATTGGATAGAAGCGGTGATGTCATAAAAATCCCTGATCCATTTAGGCGGAAGTGAGACTAAGTTTTGAATGCTTATATCCTAAAATGCGACTTTTGTCATTGTTTTGGAGCTTATTCGTCACCTCAAGCCCAACATTCATACTAAAAGCTACAAAAACAACGTATATTTTGATTTCAGGTGGCCTTTAAACGCGGAACTTATAAAGATATTAAAGTTAACCGTCTCTACTCAATTTTATTGTGAGTATTGATCCGTCAGGCGCCTCCTCACAAGCAGCGGCACTCAGGAGACTTCCCCATGAAGCCGCGCAGCCGCTCAGAGCCTGCAACTGCACTAACGGCTCCGATCCGGCGTAGGAGAGAGAGTACCTCACTGTCAGCTGCACATGCATGTTACAAAGAAGCAAAAATAATGGAATAATCATGCAGGTTTCCCGCTCAGGGCTGGTTTTTCGTGTTATGCAAACGTGCGCGGGCACATGCATGCATGAGTGACTTGTCTCAGAGTCTCATATTCACAGCTCACGCGTGTCTCTGCAACACTGACGCGCGTCACGACAGCTGCTCACGACAGCGATCCTCAAATACATCATCACTATAGCACTGCGAGACACACCACTGGCTCATGTGGTGCAGCTACCGCAACTTTAAGCAGCAAAGTGCTCATATGAGCAGATATATTACATGCAATGCTATATGTAAAGGTAAAATGAGGATTATGAGTATTAAAAGTGCTGATAAGAGAAGATATACTTCATGCACTGCTATATGTAAAGGTAAAATGAAGATTATGATTATTAAAAGTGCTGATATGAGCAGATATACTACATGCACTGCTATATGTAAAGGTAAAATGAGGATTATGAGTATTAAAAGTGCTGATATGAGCAGATATACTTCATGCACTGCTATATGTAAAGGTAAAATGAGGATTATGAGTATTAAAAGTGCTGATATGAGCAGATATACTACATGCACTGCTATATGTAAAGGTAAAATGAGGATTATGAGTATTAAAAGTGCTGATATGAGCAGATATACTTCATGCACTGCTATATGTAAAGGTAAAATGAGGATTATGAGTATTAAAAGTGCTGATATGAGCAGATATACTTCATGCACTGCTATATGTAAAGGTAAAATGAGGATTATGAGTATTAAAAGTGCTGATATGAGCAGATATACTACATGCACTGCTATATGTAAAGGTAAAATGAGGATTATGAGTATTAAAAGTGCTGATATGAGCAGATATACTTCATGCACTGCTATATGTAAAGGTAAAATGAGGATTATGAGTATTAAAAGTGCTGATATGAGCAGATATACTTCATGCACTGCTATATGTAAAGGTAAAATGAAGATTATGATTATTAAAAGTGCTGATATGAGCAGATATACTACATGCACTGCTATATGTAAAGGTAAAATGAGGATTATGAGTATTAAAAGTGCTAATAAGAGAAGATATACTTCATGCACTGCTATATGTAAAGGTAAAATGAAGATTATGATTATTAAAAGTGCTCATATGAGCAGATATACTACATGCAATCATATATATAATGGTAAAATGAAGATTATGATTATTAAAAGAGCTAATATGAGCAGATATAGAACATGCAATACAACATATAATGGTAAAATTAAGATAGATTACTAAAAGTGCCCATATGAGCAGACATACTACAAGCAAAACTATATGTAATTTAAAAAAAAAATTAAGAATATGATTATTAAAAGTGCTAATATGAGCAGATATACTACATGCAATGCTATATGTAAAGGTAAAATGAGGATTATGAGTATTAAAAGTGCTAATAAGAGAAGATATACTTCATGCACTGCTATATGTAAAGGTAAAATGAAGATTATGATTATTAAAAGTGCTCATATGAGCAGATATACTACATGCAATCATATATATAATGGTAAAATGAAGATTATGATTATTAAAAGAGCTAATATGAGCAGATATAGAACATGCAATACAACATATAATGGTCAAATTAAGATAGATTATTAAAAGTGCCCATATGAGCAGACATACTACATGCAATGATAAACGTAATGGTAAAATGAAGATTATGATTATTAAATGTGCGAACAGATATACTACATGCAGTATTATATATATATATATATATATATATATATATATATATATATATATATATATATATAAAAAGAAGATTATGATTATTAAATGTGCCCATATGAGCAGATATACTACATGTAAAAATAGGCTATATTAAATGAAAAAAAAATTATTATGATTATTAAAAAGGTGGCAATATGAGATATACTACATGCAAAACCATATATAATGATAAAATGAAGATTGTGATTATTAAAAGTGCTAATATAAGGAGATATAGAACATGCACTGCTATATGTAAAGGTAAAATGAGGATTATAAGTATTGTGAGCAGAAGCACAAGGCCACGCTGCTCAAGGACACAAACCCTTACAATGTGCAACACACACACACACACACAGTGACAGTTGAAGTTTTTCTTCAGTCCTAAAACTGCCCGGAGCACATGATCATCGGTGTGGATTCACTACACGAGTGTGTGTGAGAGTGTGTGTGCGCGCGCGCTAAACACAAGTGTCAACGTGCACAACAAACTTCACACTGCGCACTTTCCGCCGTTTCGCGCAACGCGAGAGTTTGTCGCGCATCTGTTCGCGTGAGTCGAAGTAAGTTTTAAAACGTGTGCATGACAACAACAGGTTGTAGCAGTTTGTTCCTGTAGTTTCTGATCGAGTGGATCGCAATAAAGTTGTTGTCAATCTTGGCAGCTTTAAGTTGTGTTTGATTCTTCCGCGTGTAAATTGTGTTTTATAGTTGTTGGGCTGTGGCCTTAATCTGTGTGAGTGTGTGTGTGCTGAGTTTAAAAGCTCATCCAGCACTAGCAGCTAACAGGCTACACACACACACACTCACGCCAAACGCGCACTCATTAAACACACACAAACACACACAGACGCGTGCGGTCGTCTACACACACATGCTGGCGTGTGTACCTGTCGCGTACGGTGAAACGGGTCCGTGAATCCGTCAGCCTTCATCCCGGCCTGAGCCACCGAGGCCTGTCCCTGCACCAGCTCCGCCATCATCATCATCACACACACACTCACACACACAAGCGCATAAACACACACACGGCGTACACGACCGACCCCGGAACAGGAAACAGCTCGACGGAACAACGCGAGACTTGAGAGGGAGACGAGACTCTGCGAGATTTCACACACGTGGTTCTAACAGCACTAGAGTTCATTTTATTGCTTTTTTTTGTTACTTAACCTGATCACACTTGATCATTTAGTCCTTAGCAAGTATTTTATTTATTGTACATCTTCACCTCATTTCAATTAATTTATTAATCTACTAAGGTTTTTGTGACTGCTATTTTTCATAATTTTCATGTAAAGCCCTTTGAATTATTGTAGCCTATGTGTTTTGATTTAAGTTCAAGTCAGATATATATATATATATATATATATATATATATATATATATATATATATATATATATAAAACAACAATTTGTAAATATATATGTTATATATATGTGTGTAACATTTTTTTTTACATATATGTGTTTGTGTGTATTTCATGTGTGTATATGTCTGTGTATACTGTATAAAACCTAAAAGAATTATATATATTATAATATATTATATAAAAAATATGTGTGTATGTATGCTATATATTACACAAAAATGTTAAATATATACAGTATGTTGTGTATAATGTAATATATTATAATATATTACATAAAATATATAGGCTAATATATGTGTATGTATATATTACACAAAAATGTTAAATATATACAGTATATGTGCGTGTGTATATATAAATAACATAAAAAATGTTACATATATAATATGTTTGTGTGTGTAACATAAAACTTTTAAATATATAATATGAGTGTGTGTGTATATATAACATACATTTTTTTAAATATATAAAATATGTTTCGAGTGTGTGTGTGTGTGTGTATTATTTGGTAGTGCTGGAATTTAAAAAAAACTTTACTTCTCCAGACATCACATGCATTTAGTCAATTTAAATTTTATGAAGTATAATTCTCATATCAGTGCTAATATGTATATAACTGAATTACTCTGATCTACCTTAACTTTAACTAATACAATTAAAGGTAAACAAACAAAAAAAATAAAAAAATGGCAAAGGCATATTCCATCGCATCATGAAATCTTCATGTAACTGGGTAAATTATTATGAATTGATCAATTAATAGGTGAATCAATGAAAAACTGAGAGGAAAGGTTTCATATATTCACAATTCTTTAGCAAACATTTGCTCTGGTCCAGCACTGGCGTGTGGATCATGTTTATGGTTATGATGAACTCGTTCGGCACATGTGGAAGCGTCTGAGAACATCTGGCAGGAACTGTGGGCGTCACAACTGCAAGATTGCCATCAATTTCAGACCTGCTTATGCAAATTGGGTTCGCCGGCTGAATGAGTGACAGGCGGGAGTGTAAGTGTGAAATCTCAGATCAGAAATAATGTTCAACAACTGTGAAAAGTTTATCAATTATTAAATTAGTTCTATTCATCTATAAAGAAAAAACAGTGATGCGTCCGGACAGCAGATCAGCCTAATATTGTTAAATATTAAGTGTCTCCAACTAAGCAAGCCAGAGGCGACTGTTTTTAAGCATAAACTGCATGGATTGTTTTTCCATTTCTTATTTTCTAACAAGCATTTATTTTGTGCAATTCACTTCCAGCTGCAAACACTGTAAAAAATGCCCCAAATCAACTTCAAAAAGTTCAGTTGCTGCCTTAATTTTTTTTGTAAGTACAATCAAAAAGTCATTTCAACTAATTTTTTTCAAGTTTTGTCTAGTTGAATTTCGTATAACTTAAAATTGCAATTTAATTGAAAATGACGTTTTGTCTTTTATTTTTAACGATTTTTGTCACTTGTTTTATATGGAAGCTTGTTTCCGCCACAGAATAAGAAATAAAAGGTTAATTGCAACTTTTTATCTCACAATTCTGACTTTTTATTTCAGAATTGTGTGTTAAGTTGGAATGTCGAAAAAGTCAGAAATGGAAGATATAAAGTTGCAATTGTGAGTTATAAAGTCAGAATTACGTGATATAAAGTTGCAAATGCGAGTTATAAAGTCAGAAATATGTGATATAAAGTTGCAATTGCGAGTTATAAAGTCAGAATTACGTGATATAAAGTTACAATTGCAAGTTATAAAGTCACAATTACGTGATATAAAGTTGCAATTGCGAGTTATAAAGTCACAATTACGTGATATAAAGTTGCAATTGCGAGTTATAAAGTCAGAATTACGTGATATAAAGTTGCAAATGCGAGTTATAAAGTCAGAATTATGTGATATAAAGTTGCAAATGTGAGTTATAAAGTCAGAATTACGTGATATAAAGTTGCAAATGCGAGTTATAAAGTCAGAAATATGTGATATAAAGTTGCAATTGCGAGTTATAAAGTCAGAATTACGTGATATAAAGTTACAATTGCAAGTTATAAAGTCACAATTACGTGATATAAAGTTGCAATTGCGAGTTATAAAGTCACAATTACGTGATATAAAGTTGCAATTGCGAGTTATAAAGTCAGAATTACGTGATATAAAGTTGCAAATGCGAGTTATAAAGTCAGAATTATGTGATATAAAGTTGCAATTGCGAGTTATAAAGTCAGAATTACGTGATATAAAGTTGCAATTGCGAGTTATAAAGTCAGAATTACGTGATATACAGTTGCAAATGCGAGTTATAAAGTCAGAATTACGTGATATAAAGTTGCAATTGCTAATTATAAAGTCAGAATTACGTGATATAAAGTTGCAAATGCGAGTTATAAAGTCAGAATTACGTGATATAAAGTTGCAATTGCGAGTTATAAAGTCAGAATTACGTGATATAAAGTTGCAAATGCAAGTTATAAAGTCAGAATTACGTGATATAAAGTTGCAAATGCGAGTTATAAAGTCAGAATTACGTGATATAAAGTTGCAAATGCGAGTCATAAAGTCAGAATTACGTGATATAAAGTTGCAAATGCGAGTTATAAAGTCAGAATTGCGTGATATAAAGTTGCAAATGCGAGTTATAAAGTCAGAATTACGTGATATAAAGTTGCAATTGCGAGTTATAAAGTCAGAATTACGTGATATAAAGTTGCAAATGCAAGTTATAAAGTCAGAATTAAGTGATATAAAGTTGCAAATGCAAGTTATAAAGTCAGAATTACGTGATATAAAGTTGCAAATGCAAGTTATAAAGTCAGAATTACGTGATATAAAGTTGCAAATGCGAGTTATAAAATCAGAATTACGTGATATAAAGCTGCAATTGCGAGTTATAAAGTCAGAATTGCGTGATATAAAGTTGCAAATGCGAGTTAGAAAGTCAGAATTACGTGATATAAAGTTGCAAATGCAAGTTATAAAGTCAGAATTACGTGATATAAAGCTGCAATTGCGAGTTATAAAGTCAGAATTACGTGATATAAAGTTGCAATTGCGAGTTATAAAGTCAGAATTACGTGATATAAAGTTGCAATTGCGAGTTATAAAGTCAGAATTACGTGATATACAGTTGCAAATGCGAGTTATAAAGTCAGAATTACGTGATATAAAGTTGCAATTGCGAGTTATAAAGTCAGAATTACGTGATATAAAGTTGCAATTGCTAATTATAAAGTCAGAATTACGTGATATAAAGTTGCAATTGCGAGTTATAAAGTCAGAATTACGTGATATAAAGTTGCAATTGCGAGTTATAAAGTCAGAATTACGTGATATAAAGTTGCAATTGCGAGTTATAAAGTCAGAATTACGTGATATAAAGTTGCAATTGCGAGTTATAAAGTCAGAATTACGTGATATACAGTTGCAAATGCGAGTTATAAAGTCAGAATTACGTGATATAAAGTTGCAATTGCTAATTATAAAGTCAGAATTACGTGATATAAAGTTGCAATTGCGAGTTATAAAGTCAGAATTACGTGATATAAAGTTGCAATTGCGAGTTATAAAGTCAGAATTACGTGATATAAAGTTGCAAATGCGAGTTATAAAATCAGAATTACGTGACATAAAGTTGCAAATGCGAGTTATAAAATCAGAATTACGTGATATAAAGCTGCAATTGCGAGTTATAAAGTCAGAATTGCGTGATATAAAGTTGCAAATGCGAGTTATAAAGTCAGAATTACGTGATATAAAGTTGCAAATGCAAGTTATAAAGTCAGAATTACGTGATATAAAGCTGCAATTGCGAGTTATAAAGTCAGAATTACGTGATACAAAGCTGCAATTGCGAGTTATAAAGTTAGAATTACGTGATATAAAGTTGCAATTGCGAGTTATAAAGTCAGAATTACGTGATATAAAGTTGCAATTGCGAGTTATAAAGTCAGAATTACGTGATATAAAGTTGCAAATGCGAGTTATAAAGTCAGAATTACGTGATATAAAGTTGCAATTGCGAGTTATAAAGTCAGAATTACGTGATACAAAGCTGCAATTGCGAGTTATAAAGTCAGAATTGCGTGATATAAAGTTGCAAATGCAAGTTATAAAGTCAGAATTACGTGATATAAAGTTGCAAATGCGAGTTATAAAATCAGAATTACGTGATATAAAGCTGCAATTGCGAGTTATAAAGTCAGAATTGCGTGATATAAAGTTGCAAATGCGAGTTATAAAGTCAGAATTACGTGATATAAAGTTGCAAATGCAAGTTATAAAGTCAGAGTTACGTGATATAAAGCTGCAATTGCGAGTTATAAAGTCAGAATTACGTGATACAAAGCTGCAATTGCGAGTTATAAAGTTAGAATTACGTGATATAAAGTTGCAATTGCGAGTTATAAAGTCAGAATTACGTGATATAAAGTTGCAATTGCGAGTTATAAAGTCAGAATTACGTGATATAAAGTTGCAATTGCGAGTTATAAAGTCAGAATTACGTGATATAAAGTTGCAAATGCGAGTTATAAAATCAGAATTACGTGATATAAAGTTGCAATTGCGAGTTATAAAGTCAGAATTACGTGATATAAAGTTGCAATTGCGAGTTATAAAGTTAGAATTACGTGATATAAAGTTGCAAATGCGAGTTATAAAGTCAGAATTACGTG